AGCAGGGGTAGGTAGAGGTGGAAGAGGGCATAGAGGGGATAAATAGTGATGGAAAAAATTAAATTTAAAAAGACTCTTGAGAGCTCCTAAAGTTGTCTAAAATAATTATTCTATAAATACCAACAAATATAAAACTAGCAAAATGTATACTGTACTTAGAACTTATATAACTACAGATATTTTAAAATGCACCAATGTCAACAAATCTACAAAATGAATAAAATTTCAATTGACAAAATTAATTCAATGCGATCAGTGATGTAGGTTACTGAGCCTCACTTGAACTAGTCAGGTGAACTTGGCACTGGCTGCTATTGGCAGCTTCTGTTGAGTTTGCTGGTGATGGCAAAATTCGCCCAACACTTTTCTCTTTTTGAACTACTGTGAAACAGCAATCTCTCATTCAGCTCAAGCACATTATTTACATTTTCACCTCTGTTCATTTTTCAATATCTAAAAGTAGTGTTACCTGGCAAAAATTCAAACACAACTGCAAGCACTCATATCTTAAGACACTATTTAGTTAAAATGTAGGTGTTTGGAAATAATTGAATTTTAAAAATTACCACCAAAATGAAAAATAAAAGGTAATATCTTTGTAGAGAACCATGGCATCCTAATAAATCCCACCTGCTTAATCCCACTCATCTTGTTGGGGCTGCCAGCCTCTGATGGAGGAGTTTAAATAACTGTATGTTATGGGTCACTGAACTCACACAAAAAAGCATTTTTGTGGTTAGCTTTTATTACTATGGAAAACCAAATATCTCACTTTATTTCCTTTAAACCCTCAGCCCACATGACTTCCAGTTAAGATGGCACAGTAAATTCACTCTTTGATGGATCTTCTCTACTCCAAATACACAGCAACAAGAGAGGAAACACAAGAAAACTAAAAGGATGCAGGAAAGCTCAATAATAATATAAACATCTCTGTTTAAAAGATATGTACCCCCATGTTTGTAGCAGCACTATTTACAATAGCTAAGATCTGGAAACAGCCCAAGTGTCCATCAGTAGACGAATGGATCAAAAAGCTGTGGTACATATACACAATGGAATACTACGCAGCTGTAAGAAAGAAAGATCTCTTATCCTTTGAGATGACATGGAGGGAGTATCATCCTAAGTGAAACAAGCCAAACAGAGAAAGACAAGTATCATATGATCTCACTTATTTGTGGAATATAATGAACATAACAGTCTGAGGAATGGGGTAGTCCCAGAGACGTGGAAGTGGGGTACAGACTGACAATCCCCAGAAGAGGGGTTGGTGGGGGAGAGATAAACCACAGAACTTATATGCATGTATGCATGAACAATGGACATGGACAACAAAGCTGGGGACAGATTGGGGGGGGAGGGGGGAATCAGTGGGGGGAAAAAGGAGAAACATCTGTAACAAAAATTAATTAATAAAAAAAAAAAAGATATGGGGCAGAAACAAAGAGATAAGTCCTCGAAGTTAAAGCCTTGAGCCTCCTAAGCTCAGGATCCAAAAACAAGCACCAAAACTAGATGTATGAGTCCTCCCAGGTTTTGAGGTTAAATAGAACCCACAAAGAACAGAGTGTATCCTAGTGTCACTGTTTAAAGGCAGGGTCAAAAGTGATCACTGGAAGAGAGCTCCCCCATTCCTGAAAGAAGGTCAGCAGCTCTTGGTTTCATATGGAGCTGTGGCCCAGGGAGGAGGGTAGGACACAGGCCATCCAGCCATAGGGAACTCAATGAAGCAGCCTATGATTGCCAGAGTACCTAAACCACCACTTCGGTTCTGGACTAGGGCTCCATGTAAATCAGAGACCACTATAAAATTGCTAAACAGGGAAAAGTGAGCAGAGAGGTAGAAAGAGTGGCGGAAAATAAACAAATAAATGAAAATAATAACAAAATACTTTATTCAAAACCAAAGTTCTAAAGTATATAAAGAAATCTAATGCCAATACAGGCAAATAATAAAATCAGATCACTAACTTACTTCAGAAAAAATTAATATTATAAAAGAGTCCAACAAAATAACTATATTTAGATCATTTTAAAAGGAAAAGAAATTAGCCCAGCTGGTGCGGCTCAGTGGTTCAGCACTGACCCACGGACCAAGAGGTCACTGGTTCAATTCCCAGTCAGGTCACATGCCCAAGTTGTGAGCTCAGTCCCCAGTGTGGGGCATGCAGAAGGCAGCTAATTGATGTGTCTCTCTCATCTATGTTTCTCTCTCTCTCTACCTCTCCCTTCCTATCTCTTTAAAAATCAATAAAAAAATATTTTTTGAAAAAAGAATAAGAAATTATAAAATAAAAAGCAAAATTAAAACAAGAGGAGATGTTTGCCCTGCCAGTGTGGCTCAGTGGATTGAATATCCTTCCATGAACTGAAAGGTCCCAGTTCCATTCCTGGTCAGGGCACATACCCAGGTTTCAAGCTTGATCCTCAGTAATGGGCGTGCAGGAAGCAGTCAATCAATGTTTCTCTCTCATGTAGATGTTTCTCTCTCCCCTCCTCTCTCTCTCTAAAAAAATCAATAAAAACATACTTTAAAAATAAATGAATAAAACAAGAAGAGATATTTGGAAAAGAATCAATTGTAAATTATGTAAATAAAGAATAGTCATTAAAATTGAAAATTCAATACCCAAGATACTTTAGACTGGACAGAAATGAAGTAAGAACTAGTAAATTTGAAGCTAACACTAAGGAATTCACTCAGATTGCAACTCAGAATAACAAGAAGAAAAATATGAAAAAGTAGTTAAGAAACATGGACAGCTCCACAAACATCTAGAAGGCAGCAGAGCAAAAGAAAGTAAAAAGAATGGAAAAGAAGAAGAAGCAGTAAAGAGATGAAGCTAAGGCTATTTAAAGAAATAAATTAAGAAAGTTCAAGAAATACATGCGTTTTCAGATTAAAAGTACATTCTAAATAGTGAGAAAGATAATTTAAATAAACAAGTAAGCAGATAATTAAATAAATCAATTTTTAAAAGTCACACAAACTAAAAAAAATTAATTATTTACAAAAAATCTCAAAAGCTAACAGAAAGCACCCGAACACCACTAGGTCTGTGGACCACAAAGCTCTAGAGGAGGATGGCTATAGTGCAGCAGCCAGGCCAGCTGAGCCCACTGAGACCTGGCCTCTGGTGGAGGCAGCAGGCAATCAGCACTCAGATCCTCACAACACCCAGGCTGAGACAGAAGTCCCATATGCATTTGCCTCTTTCGGAGCAGCTGGTGGATACAAGGTAATGTAACTGTCTTTCACATTAGTACCCAAGGAACCTCTTGAAAAAGCAGGCCCCTAAATGTTTCGGGCAACTTCCAGCAACAAGAGATTTGCCCCCAAGTCTGGGTTTAAATTTCTCTTCCTTTCCCACCAGGTTTCTATTAGCAGCACCAAATGTGACCTTTACTGGATGCCTTTGTTCACCATCAACCAATTTCAGACCAAGAAACTCATTAAATAGTAAAAGAAGTGAGGAAAGAGGCTGATGCCAACAGGGTTCACTGTCAGCCACAGTTATTACTAGTTGCTATTTAAACTCAAAGTTTTCAATCTATATGTCTTCATCCAATTTCTCTACCACATGTTATTTCATTCCATTGTATCTTCTCTGAAGCTAAAAGAAAGAACAAAACATAAAAAACAAGAAATGATGGCTTGAGTTATCTGGAAAGAAACCTGATTTGGAGGATCACAGATGATTTCCAATAGAAAAAAAAAATGGTCTCAGAAAACTAGTAACACACAACACACATAACTATTCACATAAAGACTAAAGCTACAATTTAAAAAAAAAGTTTAGTAAACCTCCCATTTAGATTTCCTTGGAAAGTAGAACTCAGACAAGTTAGAAAAGGTAAAGACCAGAATTCACCACATTTCCAGACAGAAAAACCTGTCACCAAAACCACCCAGATGATGCTATCCAAATCGTGTACTTTGCAGGCACCCAAGGGGATCGATAGGGAAGCAGGCCATAGTTTCAAAACCTTTCTGAAAACTATTATGTTATGGCACAAGAGCACCACCTACTGTAATAGTTCCAAGGGACAATTTAGTCAATTTATTGAAAAATGGCTATATAACCACCTCTACCCAACTGATTACCTGGCTTTCAAAAAACTGACTGTGAAGGGACAGACATCAAATCATTTAAACTGGCTGCTTCTTTCTCTTTTAAATCTGGGGCCTTTGCCAAGACCTCCTGAAAAAGAAACAGCACTCCTCCTTACTTCCCCATTTTTATTTTAATAATCACAATAAAATAAGTCTTGATACTGCTAATGTCCCCTTTCCCTCCTATGCATCTTCAGCTATCTTAGTGAATATTGCTATAAGTAGAGCTCTTCCCTCCCTGTGTCCAGGGGGGCAGAGAAAAACTCAAGGGGAGAAGCTGTCGTGGTTCTAATGTGTCTGGGAAGGATATATGCAATGTAAATTTTAAGCCCTACAATGCACAGTATAAAGATTGGGGGAGAGTGCTTTTGCAAACTCATTTCAAGATGAATACAACAGTCCCCGCTCCCCCTAAGAAGCTTAAAATAAACACAGAGGTTCTAGAAATTTACTAGCAAAATAGAATAAAGAAGAAAATATCATGGGGAAAGACAACTTATGGGATATTATAAGTAACATCAGGGTAGAGCCGATTGTTTTTGCTATGCTGTATACATACAGAATACAACTAAAGCCATGGCAGAAACAGGGTTCTTTCTGGAGCCTCCTTCAGGGCTTTTGTGAAGCTTCTAGGTATTGCCAATTACAAAAACCCTGACAGACTAACTTGAACAAGCCACATAAATTCTAGCCTGTATGTCATTTAGCTTTGTTATATTTCATTGGTCTGGTGGGGGCACTCTATTTATGAGTCACTGCATGTGTAACCTCTACTCTGTGTTAGTTGTGATGAAAACACAGCAGCTCATATTTATTCCCAATCATGCTGCACACCCTCTCATCCAGTACTAGTCAGGGTTTCCATTACAGCCAGAGCACTCACATGAAAATAGAGAAGAGATTCTCTACACAGCACATTCAGGGAAGAAATAACTTGTATCCCCAAAATATCAGTCATCTGATGCCTGTAAAAATACAAATTTGTTAACTTGGAAATCATAAAAACTTCAAAACAATAAATGTGTTGGTATTCTATTTCAATTACTTCACAGGAAAAGAAAAATGATACTTTAGAAAAATTCCAATCACAGTGCTCTAATGCACAAACCTTTTGGCAAAATGTGCAGTCCGTAGAACACTGTGTTAGCTAATGCCCCAGGGCAAGGGGAACTAGGGCAGTGTCACAGGGAGGGTGAGTCAAGTGAATGTGAAAACCTCAGGGGAGAGACTTGTTGAAAAAGAATGAGGTTATACAGAGACAAATTCTAAGTTTAAAAGCAACTGACTAATTGACTAAAGCAGAAAAAAGCCCAACCAGGGATTGATAGGCCCATAAAATTTTTTTAAAAGCATAATAATATTAGGTTTTAGTTGTCCAATATAAAAGACTTTAATGTTAGAATATACTAACAGGGGTCCAGCAAAAATTTAGTAAGGCTGCTAAATTTGACCCTATCTTTTTGATCCATTAAAATTTCAGGTGACGTGGATATGTGCAGTTCATCTCTCCATCACCCATTTTTCTATCTTCCTTTTTCTTACCAAGAACAAATTTCCTAGTCAGCAGATTTCGGTGAGAGGAGAATGGGCTTGAATTGTGTTAAAGCAGTGGTTCTCAATCAGGGGCAACCTTGACCCTCTGGGGCCCTCTGACATTTTTGGTTATCACAATGCAGGGACTGTGCTACTGGCATCCAGTGGGTCGAGGCCAGGAATGCTGCCGAACATCCTACAATGCACAGGTCAATCCTCTACAATCAAAAATTATTGGGCCAGCCCTGGCCCGGTGGATCAGTTGGTTGGAGCGTTGCCCAGTACACTGAAGGATTGTAGTTTTGATTCCTGGTCAGAGCACACACATAGGTTGTGAATTTGACCCCAGGTTAGTACACATACAAGATCGATGTTTCTCTCTCTCTCCCTTCCTCTCGCTCTAAAAAATCAGTGAAAACATATCGTCAGGTGAGGATTTAGAAAAACACAAATATTGGGCCCTACCCATGCTACAACACTCTATCCCTCACACAGGAGCTACTGGAAAAAGACTGTCCTTGCCAGATGTAAAGAACGAAACAAGAGCTCTAGCTGCTGCAGGAAGCCAGCCTTAGCATGAAGTGTGGAAGGCAAACATAGAGTTCAGGTGATGACTTCTTGCCATAAGGGCTCTTAAAAAGATATACCACTTCTTGGACAATGACTCATTTTTCCCCCTCATTAAATGACCTTTTCACCACACAACACACTAAGTAAATCACATAATATTTCAATATTATGGTTTCAGATAAAGAACAGACTCACTCATTTACTCAACATAGCAGTTTCTTGTCAAGAATATCATATAGAACAAAAAGACTTTTAATATGTTCAAACATCTCATCTCAACTGTTAGTAGGCTAATGGTGGCCCCCCCAAATATATGTCATGTCCTAATCCCAGAACCGGTGATTATTACCTTAAGAGTAAATTCATATGCACCTTGTATGGCAAAGGACATGATTAAGTTAAGGATCTGGAAAAGAGGTACTTATCCTGGATTAGTAGGGCAGGCCATAAATGCAATCACATGGATCCTATGAGAGAGGGAGCAGGAGTTTGGAGACAGGTGCACACAGGAGGAGGCAATGTGAATACAGGCCACAAGTGATGTGGCCACAAGCCCAGGAATGCTATGCTGGCAGCCACCAGAACTGGAGGAGGAAAGAACCAGATTCTCCCCTCAAGTCCCCAGAGTTAACTCAGCCTTGCCAGGCGTTAGACTTCTGGCTCTAGAACTGTAAGAGAATAAACTTCTGTTGTTTTAAACATTAAGTTTGTAGTAATTTGTTATAGCAGCCTCAGGAAACTAAGACAGCATCCCTCAAGAAGGAATAGAAATTTCCGGCTATAAGAAGGGAAGCAAATTTACATCTTGCTTTTAGTGGGGAAGCAACCCAAAGATTCCTCTTCTACAAAAATGACAAAGGTTTCCACATCAGGATTTTTTTCACTGTCAAAGCCCAAAGGGGGTGAAAAAAGATTAAACACTTCTGATATTGAATGCAAAGTAACATTTTAATATGTGTGTGCATTTGTTGTTAATCTTACCCTGGGATATTTTTCCATTACTTTTTTAGATATAGTGGCAGGGAGGGAGGGAGGAAGGGCAGGGAGAGAAAGAGACTGTACAACATCAATGTGAAAGAGACACATTAATTGGTTGCCTCCCCGATGACCCTGACCAGGGACAGGAATTGAACCTGAGACCCTTCAGTCCATGGGCGGACACTCTAACTACTGAGTCAAACCAGCCAGAGCACATTTTATATACAAACTGTATTTATTAATTTTCAAATTATTGTTTATGACATATAAAAATGTTTTTATTACTCAATGATAAATTTTTCTATTTGTGGAAAATGCTTGGGTATCTTGGGCTGGGATGAAACACATTATAACTTTTCCCATTAAAATTAAAAGAAATAATTATTTTATTTATTAGCTTTTCATCTAGTGACAAGGTTTATAGAAATGAATTAAAGTCATTAAGTGAAAAATAAGTATATTTACTTTATCTATAGTAAATGCATGATAAGTAGCTTAATTTCTTGACCCTCTTCATTAATACCTTGTCGAGACTATCATATGGAAGAAAAATATTTTTTAAATGTTTCAAACATGCTATCTCATCAAAACCAGATTAAATGGTGCCCCCCCCCATATATGTCCATGTCCTAAAATCCCTGGAACCTATTAATATTACCTTCAAAGAGTTCAGAAGTTATAGGTTAGAAATCAATGATCCAACCCCAACTTTTCCCTTCATAGAGTATGTAAGAGGGTGCAGAGGGATGAAGTACCTTCTTCAGACCATCCATGTGGTTAGAATCTGAACAAGAACAGAATCCAGGTCTCATAGCACCTAGCCCAGTATTCTACCTGAGGTTATAAGAAGGAATTTAAAAAACTGAATAAAGAGGCAGAAAACAACAGAATTTTTTTCTTTTTTGAGAAAAGATAAAATAATATAGGCATTCTTTAGATTAGAAAAGGAAAGGGTGGTTAGTGAATTAACAAATGCCTGCAGGTGAAGAAAACATTGACCAACTGAAGGCTGCCTCAATTGACGCTTATTTTGCACTGGTAATCAGACCTTGGTTTTCTGTCTTTTGGTGTTTTGCAATCCAAAACATCTTCATGACCTTAATTATGTAAGACTCTATTATACTAGATTCTACTGGTACTATATCTCAGATGTAGACCAAAAACCCGTACAACCACCTCAAGTCGAATGGGGAAGACAGTTGCTATGAAAAGGATACAACAAAGATCTCATGGATACCCAAGGAAATAAAAGAGAGTTTAGCAGGACCAAATAAAAGCTGTGACTAGAAGTTCCCACTACCATCTCTCTATAGACTAGCTTCATTTTTTTACTTCATTCTCCTTTACTTGCATGTAGTTTTTATGGTATAGTTAAGAATCTGGTCACAGGAGATTCCAAAATGGTGGCGGAGTGAAGAGAAGCTACACAGACCATCTCTAACAACAAAACTGGAACTACAACGAAAATAAAGACAAATCACTGGAAAAAAGCAACAGAAAAGCAGCTTGCGAGGACCATACAACCAGGGACACCAAATCGATCCTGGTAGGATTGCAGAGGCGTGAGAGGGGGACTGGGAGCCCACAGACAGCAGCAGTCTTAGCTGTGAGCAGCACACTCGGGTTAAACTCCCAAGAGCCTCCACAGGGCAGAGCTGGGACAGACGCTAAAATAGCCAAAGCCACTCACCTTGGGCTCCAGCAGAGGGAGGGTGGACTAGACTGGAACTGTGTGGAGACACTTGGGATTTGGAGGGGGCTCAGAGCTTTTGCTGAGTTGCAGCCATGCAGGACGGTGGCCATCTTACTCCTTACAAGGGTTCTGGGGAGAGGCGGTGGCCCCTCCCTCAGACATTCAATCCCACCCAAGTGGGCCACTGAAATGCAAATTCAGGCTCATTAACAACCAGCACCTGCCCCACCCTCGTGAAATCCCCTTACACTGAACACCAGGAGAAATTTTTCATTCAACTGAGAACCCAACACTCTTCAAGTAACCACTACTGATAGCGTCCAGGTAAAAAGTTAAAGGATAACCAAACCATTCCTGGACCTGCAAATCTAACCAAGAAAGTAAGACTTGACAGTGGTGTTTAAGGTGGGTCCTCCCCCGCTCATCCAAACCCAAGAGAGGGAGCCACAAAGAGCAGAACAACAACACACAGGGAAAATTTGGCAGGCTCCAAAACCCACTGAGATAGCCAAAATGGCAAAACAAAGAAACAAATCCCAAATGAAAGAAGAAGAGACCTTTACCAAAGATGAAATAAATGAAACCCAGTTAAACAAGTTAACAGAGCTAGAATTCAGAGCCATGATCTGGAGGAAGCTCAACAGCATGAATACGGACATCAAGACCATGAGTAAGGACACAGAAACATTGAAAATCAACCAATTGGAAACTAAAAACCACCAAAAAGCAATGAAGAATGACATACAAAAATAAAGAATACTTTATTTATTCTGCAGAATAGAGGAAGCTGAGGACTGGATCAGTGAATTAGAAGACATGCTAGAAAAAACCAACCAATCAGAAAAATCAAAAGGAAAAACAATTAAAAAACTGGAAGACAGACAGCTTAAGACAACTGTGGGAAAATTGGAAATGTAATAATATTCGCACAATAGGAGTCGCCGAAGAAGAAGAAAATGAGCAAGGGTTAGAGAATATATTTGAAGAAATAGTGACAGAAAAATTCCCTAATTTGGAGAAGAAAGAAGGTATTCAAGTTCAAGAAGCACACAGAGCCCCAAGTAAGAAGAACCAAACAGGCCCACACCAAGACACATAGTAATTAAAATACCAAAAATTAAAGACAAAGAGAGAATTCTAAGGGCAGCAAGAGATAAGCAACAAGTTACCTACAAAAAAA